TTTTTTTCTTAATGAAGAAAAGTTTCTCAAATAAAAAAAATATTTTATAGATAAAAGTTTGGGATTAAATTCAAAAAGTTAAGATACGAATAAATTCTCTCAGTGTATTTCTATATTAGAAAAATTTGAAATGAAAAAAGTTAAACTTAAGTTCTAATAGTCTTGCAAACATAAATTGTCTGATTGTGTGTCCACAAGGTCAAAAAAACATCGAAGACCAATTTTTCAGAAAAGACATTTCTGGAGGTATTTCGATGTGGGGACTTCATATGTGCGCCTCATTTGCTCAGGCGACTGAAGGAGGGGTGGTATCAATTGGAAGAAATGACGTGGACTGATAGAGACCGAGTTTTTGAGTATTGCCTTTTTATGGGTATTCAAATATTCTCCTGCTTGCAGTGCAGAGTGTGGCGATCATAAACTGTTGGCTTTTTTGCATATAAGATTACTAGCACTTCACTGATTTGTTAAAGATTATTTCCAGTAAATGTGAAGAGAATGCATTTCTACAAGAAAGAGCTAGGCGAGTCATCGGACGAGCGTTACTTGTATAGATTAAATTAAAATAACTTATTTATTTTTGTATTGTTGTAAAATAAAATAATTATATTTCCTTTCTATTAAGATTCTTCTCAATCAAATCATTCAACAGTTAGTACAGCGACTAGATCAAAGAATCCAATAGCAACAAATCAAATATCAATTCAGTCTCAAATAAAGCTGCGTATGTTTTATGAAATAAATTAAAAAATCTCAATTGAACGATGAAATTATTTGAAATTAGTTTTTTTTGATTAAAAAGAAAATCTTTTATTTTAGAGCTAACTCAAACAAAAAAGAATAAATTTCAACAGTTTGGAATTACTGTTGCTGGAGGAAATAGAAAAGGACAGGAATTAAATCAACTCTATTGGCCTGAAGGGATCTTTATTGATAATGAGAAATCAATTTATATTGCTGATTCCAAGAATCATCGTATTGTTAAATGGAAATTGAATTCAAATAAGGGTGAGATCATTGCAGGTGGAAATGGAAGAGGGAATCAAAATAATCAATTGAATTATCCAATAAATATAATTTATGATAAAGAAAATAATTCTTTTATTATTTCTGATTATGGAAGCAGACGAATATTTCGATATTTTGATCAAAATCAGACAAATCAACAAATTATTATTTCAAATATTAAATGTTTTGGTCTGACAATTGATAAAAATGGATTTATTTATGTTTGCGATTATGTAAATCATGAAGTCAAACGATGGAAACAAGGAGATTATGAAGGTGAATTAGTTGCAGGTGGAAATCGCCAAAGAAATCGTCTTAAACAACTTAATCAACCTATGTTTATCTTTATTGATGAATATGATTCTCTTTATATATCAGATCAGAACAATCATCGTGTGATGAAATGGAAAAAAGGTGCAAAAGAAGGTGAAGTTGTTGCTGGTGGAAATGGTGAAGGGGATAGTCTCAAACAATTGTCTTATCCTGGAGATGTGATTGTTGATCATTTGGGTCAAATCTATGTGGCAGATTGTGATAATCATCGAATAATGCGTTGGTGTGAAGGAGATAAAGAAGGTGAAATTGTTGTTGGCGGAAATGGTTTAGGAAATCAATCAAATCAATTGAATCATCCCGCATGTTTATCATTTGATAATGAAGAAAATCTGTATGTTGTAGATCAATACAATCATCGAATCCAAAAATATGAAAAAATTTGAAATTCAAAATAATTTTAGTTTGATAAAGTTTCAATTTTTGTTTTTAAAAATAAATCAAAACATTAATTTATGAAAAATCTTCAACAAAAATAAATAAAATGAATTAATTTGTTTTTCATTTTTAGAAGAAAAATAAATAAGTATTTTGTTAGTTTTAGTTTTAAATTAGAAAGTAAAATGAATAAAATAATTCGGATAGAATTTGTGTTAAATGAATCAAATTAGAAGATATTGAAAGAAAATCCAATTATTAGAAAAAATTTAATTTTTATAGTAAAATCAAATAAGATATTTTTCAAATTGAGAAAAACATTTAAATCATTAAACAAAAACTTCTAAATAGAAATAAATTGTTTTTTTATTAGATTTATTTTTGTGATTCTATGGTTTATTGAGAGAAGAAAAAAGATAAATAAGAATACTATCTATCAAAATGGAAAAATTAGATTAAGAAAATCGTTTTTTTTAGAAGAAAAAATTATTTTTACATTCAAATATTAAAAATAAAATAATACATTAAAATGAAAATAAACAAAAGATGAGATTTGTTTTATTTTATTCAAAAATCAAAACTGAATAAAAAAAATAAATTCGCAATTTTGATTGTTGAATAAAAATTTTCTCGTTTATTTAACTAAATCTTTTTTTATCAAACAGGAAAATTTAGAAATAAAATAAAAATTCTTTTCGTGAGGTTTTATTAAATTGTTTTTTGACTTTTCTCCTTGGAAAAGAAAACGATTTTTAACTAATCAAAATTTTGATTTGTTATTAAAATATTTAAATCTATTTCTAAAATTTAAATAAAAAGAAAAACAAACAGAATATATTTTATAGTTCCATTAATTAACAAAATGTTTCATCTAGTTTGATTAAAATAATGAAGAAAAATTGAATGATTTTTCTATTATATTGATAGATAAGAGAAAATAAAAAAAATCTCTCAATTAAACTATTATTTAACAAATCATTAAATATTTTGAGGATGTAGGTATGAGTATACTGACCTCAACACGCTCACGCCCATAATAGCCCTAAGATAGCTAACTCCGAAGATCGAAAGAAGATTAAGGTGAGAAGAACAGACGTGAGTTTTATTGTGAAATCTTCAGCTATAAATAGTTCACATTTAAGAAGATGATGAAATGAACGAGAAGACATCACCAGATGATGGTGTAACAAAATGTTGCAATGAAAGGTATGAAGAGAAAACCATGATGACTCAATGACAAATATATGTAAACATAATCTATAAAAAACATCGTCCGTTCTTTATAATACTTTATGTATTCATACGTCTAAGCATTCAATAACAACCATGTGTTCGTAACCTCGAACAGTGTCCTGCGTTTTGCATCGTACTTTGAATACATTGAATACACTGAATACGCACATTCGACTCGTGTGAGTCATACACATTGTGCACGCCTCCTTGTAAAAGGTAAACAAAAAAGTAAACTTATATACATAGGATTTTTTTCTTTTCTTGTAACTCTCAATTGCGACGTATTTATTTTAATAAAAAAAATTGTTTAGAATCATTAATTACTATGATGCTAAATTATGTGATGTTTATTTGGTTATTAACATTGATTTCCCAATCATTTTGCTTAAACTGTTTATTCATTAGTGATGGAGGTGCAGGACACGTCATTCCTGTTTTCGAATTGGCAAAAGCATTCAAAAATCATAATATTACGTTTCTTACTGATCAATTGACTCAAGCTTATATCGACTTGAATTCTTATTCTTCTCCTTCATTTCGTATAATCTATACGAATGATTCTCTTCATGCATTGTTGGACGAGAAAAATCGTGAGCAGGAAATCATGCTTGCTATGACTAATCGTTTGTTATTAGATGCAGTTCCCGACATAGTACCAGTGTTTGGTGAGAGGATCATACCCTTATTGAGCAAAATAATCGATATTTTGATGCATGAACGTTTTGATGTAATTGTAGCTGGTAAATTCGTCTTTGGAGTTTCTCTCTTGTGTGATAGAATCCAGACACCTTGTGTAATCCAGAGCCCGGCATTGGACCCTGATATGTTAGATTTTAATCTACCAAATACCTTCTCACTGCTAACATCCAAAGACTTAACTCAGTTTCGATACCGAATTTACAATGTACTTTTCAGTATGCGTATCATAACGAAGGTTGTACCAAAACTGATTCCGGCATTGTACAAATTATTTCACTCTCTACCACAAATATCCGGAGAATTTGAAGATATTTTTACATTAAAGAATCTTTTGTCTTCAAAATCAAAGAGCTTGAATCTCATCAGTATGCCGGCATCGTTCTTTACACCATTATATTCTCATCATTATAGCAAATATCTAGGCGCATTTATAGATGAAATACCGATTACTAATACTAACAACGATCTTACTAGATGGATTCAGTCAAAACCAGATAGCACGATTGTGTACAGTGCTTTTGGTAGTACTTCTATTATTCCCTATGAGCGTATGTATAATTTAATTAATGGTTTGGCTAATTTTCTTCTGGAAGAAGATGATAGTTCTATACTATTGGCATTTCGCAATGTAAATTATGATACATATCAAACAGTATTAGCGAATTTAAACGACGATGAATTTCGTAAAATCTTGAAAAATGAAGATCGAGTGAGAATCGAAAATGGATTTGTACAACAGAAATGGATTTTACAACAGAATCAAATCAAAATCTTCTTAAGTCATTGTGGAATGGGCTCTGCTTTAGAAGCATTATACTACAGCAAACCTTTACTATGCATGCCTTTCTGTTTAGACCAGTTCTCTAACGCAATCGCCATCGATAATCTAGATGTTGGACAATCATTGTTCGTACCACCATCTCTCTGGCAATCTTTGATAAAACCTTATGACTTTGCTAAATACACTTTCACAGCTGCGAGTGTGACAAATAAATTGTTGGCTATGTGGTCAAATGTATTATACAAAGAAGCAGCTGGACGCATGTCATTGGAAATGAAATATGCTGGTGGTGTGAAGCAAGCCGTGAAAGAAATAGAATTTTTTGTTCATCTCGGTGGTGATCTAAATCGTTTTGAACCATTTTCAAGTACATTACCATTTTATCAACGATATATGTTTGATCTACTGTTTGTATTCATTGTTTTACCGGGAACAACCTTCTTATACGTCTGCTTTAAATGTTGTAAGCGACGACAAAAATCAAAAATAGATTGATGAACATTGTTTTTTGATCACGTATATGTATTTTTTAGCTATTTGAAAATATATTCTATGCAAATCAAAGCTCAATATAAAATGAAAGAGGTTATATTAATGCCATCCATGAGGGTGTGGGTGTGAGTATGGGCATATGTATCTTCTTTATTCACATTCATCCTACACCCACAAGAATGAAGAAGAAAAAGAAGAATTTTTATGCGTTCTTATTTATTTACATCATATCATACGCTATTAATAATTTATGCAGTACATCATCATAAAAGTTTGACTTTAAATATTATACCTTATTCTTTTTTCTTCATCTATCATATTAATGTAGTAGACATAAACAAAGAAAAAAGATTGACTATCAGTGAAGACGCAAGAAAATACACCGCATTTTGCGCAAGGGGAAAAGGCAAAAATATTTCTATTTATACTAACAGAATACAATCGGGAAGGAATTTGATATTTATCGATTACAAAAAGTTTAAATATTTCCGAAATTCTTATAAATTCAAAAAGAAAAACAAATTCTGCATCGATTGAGTCTATTTATGACAAAACTTACTTCGATAATGAAGCACATTTATATTCAAAACTGAGTTTGTGGACTTTTAGAAAATGCTTTATATTCTTGTCATTACTAGAATTGTACTGAAAAAATGTGGTATGCGTAATCAATGCACTTCGACCGAACTATAGGTACTTCTAATAGAACGCTGACAAAAAATTGAATTCTAGTAAAGAATCTTGAGGGTGTGGGTGAAAATGTGACTGATAGATCGATATCTCATTCACAAAATCATACCCATACCTCAAAATTATAGATGTGCATAATTGTTTCCATCATTTTTATCTTCTTCACAAAAAATGCATACTCTTGTTAATAAGTTGGTATAACTGATAGAACTGTTTTCGGTAGCACAGCATCGACTAAGTCACATGATAAAATTATTGCATATTTTTCTTTATTTGTTCAAAACATTTATTTTATTAGTTGATTTCATGTAACTGAATATTTGGGTTACTTATCACACATTCTCATATAGTTGGTAGTGCAAATGATGGTGCTCAGAACTGATTAATTATACATTTGACAAAATATGTCTAAAGACAATCAACCACTTAATCGAGTTTTTTATTAATGATAATAAAACTATTTATATTATTGGATAAATGATCAGTTAAGTCTTGAGAGTGTGGGATTACGTGTTGTTGCTTGATCGTTTTGGATAAGTTGCCATTTCTTCGATAGTTTCAACCATGGTAGTTCTTTTGTATCAGGAGATGATTGGATTTGTTCGCCTTTCGAAATAAGTTCTACAAGCTGATGCCACATGGTGATTGCTTGTTGTTGTACATCCGTGCCCTATGTTTGATACTAAATAGGACTTATGAAAAAAACAAAAACACCCTTACCCAGCACCATGCTTCAAATGATTCATCCGACCATAGATCAGGATTGCAATCTCCTTTGCCTTTATTGCGTATCAGATCGTCTCGCTCTTCTTGCTGTTTTCCATCATGTAGATGTAAAGTTTGACGCAGATGAACTGCAGAAGTCTGTATGATCTCAGCTCGTTCTTTGCGCAATAGTTCATATACTTTTAATGCTGTATTAATTTGATTTTTGTTGTCGATCATAGCAAGCGAGATGGCCAGAACAGCTGCATCTTCCACAGCTTGAGCTGCGCCTTGAGCGATATATGGTAGCATTGGATGTGCTGCGTCACCTAAGAGTGCCACATTGCCTTCAATCCATGTAATTAATGGATTACAATCGTACAGATTCCATTCTATTATTTCTCCGTC